TATATATATATATATATATATATATATTTATATACGTATATGTTATATTATATATGCATATATATTCATATATATATGAATGTATGTATGTATATATTTGTTTTTGTTTCATTGATAGTTCTGTATATTGTATGCATACAGACACTAGTAATATAAATAAATATATATATATATATATAAATTATGCAGTATATATAGGATATATAATATATAGAGTATCTATACGGTATTATTTGTTTTGTTTAAAGGATTAAGTAATAAATATGTAAAGATTAAAAACACAAGTGAATGAAGTAGATAAACAGACCCAAGCATACAAATAAAAATAGACATTTAACTAAATAATATAATATATTTTGTGTGAAAATGTTCATAGGAATTACTCTTATTTTGATGGTAATGTAACAGAAGGAAGCTCTTTTTCTGACTCTCCTTATCTTATCTCTGGGCCTGTAAAAGGCGATGAAGAACTAATTGAAAAAATAAAAAGTAATTTAGGAAAGAAAGATGATGTTGTTGTGCTCAAAGGACCCGCAATTAGTGCAGAGACTTTCTATAGCTGCCAGGTATGTGGTTTATTTATTTATTTATTTATTTATTCTGCTTTTATCTTTTATTCATTTTATTTGTTTCATTTGTTTTGTTTGTTTATTTTATTTGTTTTGTCTGTTTTGTTTATTTGTTTTATTCGTTTTGTTATTTAGTTTTTTTCGTTTTTGTCCTCTGTTTGTTTTATTTAGTCTGCTTATTTATTATTCTGTTTTTTTAGTCATTTTATTCATCTGGGTTTTATTCAACTTCTTTATTAAATGGATTTCTACTCTATGTATTTTATTTAGATATTTTCCTAATGTGCATAGAGAAGACATCACGAAACAAATTGTTTAGTTGTATTTATTTATTTTTGTTTTTGTGCCTTTCATGTGATGAACGCAATTTTGTGTTTCTGTTCGTATTTATTTAGTACTTGTCTATTCATGTATCATATATATATATATATATATGTAGCTTTATATATATATATATATATATATATATATATGCATGCATATACTTAGAATATGTCTTTATGCAAGTATTTATATTTGTATGAATAGGTTTTTTTGTGTATTTGTTTGTTTCAGGGTCGGCGTTTCCCTGATTTTTCTGACGAAAACAAATCGTTAGTCGACACTTTTGTTGATTTAGGAGTAATAGGGTGCGAGATGGAGTCGCATCAATTATATCACCTTTGCAAACAACGAACAGATGCAAACCCAAAGAAAACAAAGACCAGAGCTGCCTCAGTTTGTTTAGGAGTTGTTAACAGAGTTGATCCGAGCACCCCGGCGCACTTAACAAGACAAAGCGAGGTGAAGATTTTCTTTGCTTGTTTATCTTTCATTTAAACACATTCTTATTCTTGTCTATTCTCTTTACTCCTTCTTACGCATGCTTTGGCTTCTAATGCGGATAGTTAATAGACTTCCTAACTATCTATTTATACGTTGTCTTTCTATATTATATATATATATATACATATCCATATATATATACATGCATATATACATGTATATATATTTATAGACTTCCTAACTATCTATTTATACCTGCTCTATATACATAATATGAATATTCATATATATGTATATTTATATATATAGATATATGTAGATATATATATATATATATATGTATATATTGAATGTGTTTGTTCAGGAGTCGACGAAGCAAACAGTTTTGGCTGCGGCAGGGGCTGCGTTGGATGCGTTGATATCGCTGCCTCTGTAACTATTATTGTTTTTGTTTGTCTTGTCTTCATATTGATAGACAAGATGAAGCAATAGTGCAAACGAAGAGAGTTGCTATTAGAATAAAGAAATACATACAAATGATGCCCCGCCCTATTTATTAAGGGTAAACAATTAGAAAACAAAGAATAGCAATATTATATGATGGCTGCAGTTTGTCTTTCTGTAGTTTACAACACCAGAAGAGTGTATAAGGGAGGGGGTTTAAATTAAGTAAATTAATTTGTTTATTTTTTTTAATGAATGTTTTTTTTCTTTCTTTGATTTTGTTTTCGGCTGTCAACCCAACAGAGTTTGGGCGAAGCGGCTTCTCTGCGTTTTGCACAGTGATTGGCATTCATTGATTAATGTGAACCTGAAGCAGAGACGAGCGTTTCTCTGTTAATTTGTTTACATGCATAACCCCTTTATTATGTTTAAAGGGTTAATTTGTTTTTCGAATTGCTTTTACTTTTACACGCCTTTATATATGTTCATTTTATTCATTTGTTCACCCTCATCATTTGTTTATATTCACTTTTCTTCTTTTTTATTGACTTTATTTTTTTATTTATTGCAGTTAACTTCTTACCAAGAGGCAGGAGCAATGCCTTCGGGTCTTTTGTAGGTTATGCAGCACATTTTACAAGTTTCTTCTGTAGACAGTTAAAGCATTCAGTTAGATATTATAATATATTTCATATTTTATAGTATATACACTTATAAATATATATATAATATATAGTATATAATATTTAATATGTAACATATATAATATATAATCTACAATCTATAATATATAATATATATTATATATACTATATTATATATAATAGTATATAGAAAGTGTTTGACTTCTTAGTTAGTTTGTTTATTCAGTTATTAATTAGTTGAGTTGATTTTCATTTTTTGGGTTGGCGGCGATTTTAATTAGTTATAAATAATTTATTTATTTCTTTTCAATAGCCTGTCGATTGTTTTAGTCTGTTGTTTGTTAATTCTTTTGATTGTTTCAGTTATAAAATAATTAATTGGGTTTAATTTAATTGTCCATTAATTAATTTAATTGTTTTAATATGCCGCTAGTCGATTAATAATTAATTCGATTGTTGAAATTTACAATAAATTTATCTGCTGAATTAATAATCAGCATGGAAGCTGACTACTAATAAATTAATTAATTAAATTAGTTTAATTAATTAGGTTAATTAAATAGATTAATTAGTTAATTAGTCTGATTGTTTAAATTAATTAATTACCAATTAATTATTTTTATTCTTTAATTTACTAATTTATTAATTTGATTGTTTAAATTAACAGTTAATTTGTTTTAAAGCGCAGATTAACTGCCAGTCAACAACTCGAAAATCACGATGAATGAATTAATTAATTAATTCGGTCGTTTAAATGAACATTTAATTAATTGTTTGAATTAACAATTAAATTAATTTGTTAGATTAGATTAGATTACATTATTAATTTAATTAATTAATTAGATCGTATAATTAAATAATTAATTAATTAGATTATATAATTAATTAATTGATTACATGAGATTCTATTAGATTCGATAACTAATTAATTAGTTAATTAATTAGATTAGATTATATAATTAATTAATTAATTACTGAGATTGTTTAAATGAGTAGATTATATTGTAGTTCTCACTTGTACATATGTCTGGTCGATCGTCAGCAGCGCAAGTAGAGTAAACAGCCGCTGCCTTCTCTGAGTAAAAATAAATAAATACATAATAAATTATTGAACAAATTAAACAAATTAAACGAATTAGACAAACTAAACAAATTAAAATCAATTGAATTAACTGATCGGCATTAACAAATTAAACGAAATCTCTTCAGCACATTTCAAACAAACAAATCGAAGAAAATATTTTTAAACAAATTTAAATAAACAGAAACACAACAATCACAAATATCGCTGCAAACAATAAACAAAGACAAAAAAAACAAACGAAGGCCGCAGCAAAACAAAATATAAAATTAAAAATTCAAACGACTGATGATTACAGCGAAGAAGTAAACGCTGGCAAATGAACAAACAAACCAAAAGCATACATACATGCAAATATAGAAACATATATATATATATATATATATATCTATATATTTTATATTTATGTTTGATATATATTGCATGTACGTATTAATGTATGTGCATATAGCTATATATACTATATATATATATATATATTTATTTATTTATTTATTTATTTATTTTACTTATTATAAACAATTAGTTTTAATTACTAGGGTTGATGTAAGTGTTTCGCTTACCGCCAGCACATGACTCTCTCATGGCGTTGAATGCAGCGCAGAGCATCGATGAATTTTTAAATTCTTTTTCGCAGTATTTCGCGCAGCTCTTCTGCGCTTTCTTCGACCTGCTGAACTCGCTCGCACAACAAGACTCGCAAAAGCTGCTGCTGCTGCTGCTGCTGCTGCTCTTGGTGTTGCTGCTGCTGGGGCAGGCGTGTAGCCTGAAAAGAAAGAAGTTGTCGCAGTCAGCGGGAGATTACGATAGAAACAAAATTTTATCAGGCGTTTGTTTGCATGCAGCTTATTTATATTTTGTGTTCACATGCAGTCATTATTATTTGTTTTGGGTGTTACAATATACGTTTATTATAT